GGAAGGAATGTCTGTGAATCGTGTGTCTGTTGGAATATTTACTTCTCAGACATAAAATAACTATAACTCAATAGCAGGGAAAACTAAGGGCTATGGAAAATTAAGAGCTGGTTCAGCAAGTAAGATGACTGCCAGTAAGCTTGATGACCTTGAATACATTCCTGAAACCCATGTGGTAGAGGGATCAGCTCTTGTGATTGTCCTCTGACCTCCTCATGCATGCTGTAGGACACACATGCCCATGCATACACACACAGTAAAGAAATAAATAATTTTAAACTGAAAAGAGAACATTCCTATTTAACATGGGAAAATAGGTTCTGTACACACTTCAGTCTATCACAAATTATTTTTCTTAGACATCTTAATGCAAATAAGAAAGAACATAAGTTGGGTGAGGATGTGGACATATTGGAGCCCCTGTGTTCTGCTGATAAGAATACAAATATTAGAGTGGAGTTGGAGACAGGACAGCAGTTCCTCAAATGATTAACACAGTAGCCTATGATTTGTCAACTCTATCTTTCTACCTTAAAAAGTAAAGCCCAGGCTTCAAAAAGATGTGCCTGGCATTTCCAGACCACCTGCCTGGACCTGGGCTCTGCCACTGAGGCTTCCATCCCGGCAGCGACAACAGGAGCCAAGGTACCTTAGTTTCCTGCTCCACCCATGGAACTAGGACTAGACCGGCTGCCTGTGCTTGGGGTCTACTGCTGAGTCTTCCATCCCAGCAGCAGGAGCCAACACTCCCTAGTCTCTTGCTCCACCCATGGGAGCAGGTAAACCAGGGCCCATTTCCAGACCGCCTGCCTGTGCCTGGGCTCTGCCACTGAGGCCTCCATCCCGGAGGAGGCAGCAGGAACTAAGGTACCATAGTATCCTGCTCCACCCACGGAACTAGGACTAGACCAGCTGCTGATGCATGCGGACTGCCACAGCGGCTTCCATCCCAGAGGCAGGAGCAAACTCACCCCAGCATCCTAGTCTCTTGCTCCACCCACATGACTAAGAGTATCAGGGCCTGTCTCCAGGCCACACTCCTGTGCCTGGGGTATACCACTGGGGCTCCGATCCATCCCAGTGGGATCCAAAACACCCAAGCCTCCTAGTCCATTTCTCCACCTGCGAGACCAGGAAGTGGAGAACTACCACAACAGTGGACTTACCTAAGCCCACCAGAAGGGAACCCAGGTCCCATACACACCAGGAGAGGAAGAGGAACCCTCTGGAACCTACTGCAAGAACAGATGGGAAGGAGACAATATAAAAACACAGGGAGCAACAGAAAAACCAAGATGATGCCGCCAGAGTCCAGAGACCCTACACCAACAAGACTGGAACACCCCAACACAAATCAACTAGAAGAGAATGACATAAAAATAACTTCACAGAAACGATAGAGGCCCTCAAAGAGGATATGAGAAAATCCCTTAAAGAGATGGAAGAAAAAACAATCCAAAAAATGCAAGAAATGGAGCAAATGACAAAGAAAAAATTGCAAGAAACAATTCAAACAGTGCAAGGCCTGAAATCTGAAATAGAAACAATAAAAAACACAGTCTAAAGGAATGCTGGAAATAGAAAACTGGGGGAAATGGTCAGGTACTACAGATGCAAGCATAACCAACAGAATACAAGAGATGGAAGAGAGAATCTCAGGTATTGAAGATACACTAGGAGAATTAGATTCATTGACCAAAGAAAAATTTAAGTACAACAAATCTCTAACACAAAATATCCAGGAAATATGGGACACCATGAAAAGACCAAACTTAAGAATAATAGGTATAGAAGAAGGTGAAGAAACCCACTTCAAAGGGCCAGAAAACATATTCAACATGGAAGAAAACTTTCCCAACCTAAAGAAAGACATGCCAATGAAGGTGCAAGAAGCTTACAGAACACCAAATAGAGTACACCCCCCCAAATCCCCTTGACATATAATAATCAAGACCTCAAACATACAGAATAAAGGAAGAATATTAAGAGCAGCTAGGGAAAAAGGCCAAGTTACATATAAAGGCAAACCTATCGGAATTACACCTGACTTCTCCATGGAAACTATGAAAACCCAAAGGTCCTGGACAGATATTCTACCAACATTAAGAAACCACAGTTGCCAGGCAAGACTGCTATACCCAGCAAAGCTTTCAATCAATATAGATGGAGAAAACAAGATATTTCATGATAAAACCAGATTTAAACAATACATATCCACTAACCCAGCCCTACAGAAAATTCTGGAAAGAAAACTCCAACCCAAGAAAGTTAACTACAACTAGAAAAACATAGGCAATAGATAATCCCACTTTACCAACAAACAAAAGAAAAAGTGGTGGAAATCCACATACAATTCCACCAACAACAACCATTCCAAAACAAACAAGAATGAGTTATCAATGGTCATTAATTTCCCTCAATATTAATGGTCTTAACTCGCCCATAAAAAGACACAGGTTAACAGAATAGATTCGAAGACAGAATCCATCCTTCTACTGCATACAAGAAATACACCTCAGCTTCAAAGACAGACATTATTTCAGAGTTAAGGGTTGGGAAAAGATTTTCAAATCAAATGGACACAAGAAACAAACAGGGGTAGCAACCCTAATATCTAACAAATTAGACCTTAAACTAAAATCAATCAAAAGAGATTATGGAGGTCACTTCATATTCATCACAGGAGAAATCAACCAAGATGAAATCTCAATTCTGAACATCTACGCCCTAAATACAAAGCCATCCACATTCACATAACAAGGATGTCTGTTCCACTATGTTCATAGCAGCATTACATGCAATAGCTAGATCTTGCAAGCAACCTAGATGCCCCACAACTGAAGAGTGGATAGAGAAAATGTGGTACATTTACACAATGGAGTACTACTCAGTTGAGAAAAACAATGGAATCTTGAAATTTGCAGGCAAATGGATGGCACTAGAGGAAACCATCCTGAGTGAGGTAACCCAGACACAAAAAGACAAACATGGTATGTACTCACTCATATATGGATTTTAGATATGGATCAGGAGAGTGCCAGCTTGCAATCCCAGTGCCAGTGAGTCTGGGAAACAGGGAGTTTCCCAAGAGATATGCATGATACCTCAGAGAAGTGGAATGAGGCAAGATCTCCTGAGCAGATTGGGAACATGTGGGAAGGGGGGAGCAAACCAGGAAAAAGAGAGGGGGTAAGAGGAGGGGAGAAGAAGGCATGGGGGAACAGGAAGGTTGAGTCGAGGTAAGAATAGAGGAGAGCAGGATGAGAGATACCATAATAGATTGAATCATTATAGGCTTGAGATGAGAGCTGACACTAGTGAGATCTCCAGAGATTTACAAGGTTAACACCAACTAGCAAACTAAGCAATAGCGGAGAGACTACATTAATAGCCCCTCCTTGATGTAAAGTTGATGACTACCTTACATGCCATCCTTGAACCTTTATCCCGTGACTGATGGAAGCAGAGACAGATACCCACAGCTAAACACTGAACTGAACTCCTGGAACCTAGTGACAGAGGTGGAGTAGTGATGAGCAAAGGGGTCAAGACCATGATGGTGAAACCCACAAAGACAGCTGACCGGATAATGGGGAGCTCTTGAATCCCAGACTGATGGCTAAGAGGCCAACAGGGGACTGATCCAGATTCCATGAATGTAGTCTTAGTGAGGAGGCCACAGAAATTACTGAGGCACTGGGTAGTACATCAGTGTTTACCATGGTGTATTGATGGGGGAAGTCCTATGTATATGTCAATAAAGCACTGTTGGGCCAATAGGGAACCAAGATAGGTGGGACTAGGAATCCAGAAGGACTCTGGGAAGGAGAAACACAGGAAGTCAAGATGTAACGCCATGGGGTAGGAAGCCCGGAACTATTCTCCAGTAAGAGAAATACTTAGATTAACAATTATGGGGTAATTACTTAAGTCAGAGCTAGCCAGTAAGAAACAAGCAAGGCCAACAGCTTCATAATTAATATAGCTTCTTGTGTGTTTATTTGGGACTGATGCGGCACTAGAACCAGGCTGGCGGGAAGGCTTCTCTCAAGAAAAAGGCTTCCCTTTACAGTGTATGAATGATCTTTGGGAGCCCATTCCAAATAGAGGGATGCTCGCTCAGCCTGGACACATGGGGAAGGGCCTAGGTCCTGCCCTGGATGAAATGACAGACTTTGGAGATTCCCCCAAGGAGGGCCTCACTCTCCTTGGGGAATGATGTGGAGATTGGGTGGGGGACTGGTTGAGGGACAAGGGAGGAGGGTTGGGAGAGGGAGCTGGGATTGACATGTGAAGCATTCATGTTTCTAATTTAAATAAAAAACATAAAAAAGATATGAACCACACTAAAAAAGATGTGCCTGCACATTCAACTGCATGGTTAATAGCATCCAAACATGAAAGCAAACCACATGTCCAGTCACAGATGAATGGGAAGCAACACAGCAAATAAACACAATTGACCATTATTGTGCCTTACAGAGCCCAAGAAATCCCCACACATGCCACACATTTATGGGCTCTGAGGACATTACACAAATGGAAACAAGCAAGTCAAAGCAAATAACAACAAAACCAAAACACAGATACTTGTGTGACTCCAATTCAGGGTTCCCACATTAGTCATACTCAATGACAGAAGGCAGAATGGTTTATACCTGGAATCGGGATTAGGTAGAATGGGGATTCTTCTTTCATATCTATGAGGTTCCATTCAGGAAGATGAAGAAATGCCCTACATTTAGAGTGTGGTGATGGTCGCATAACATGAAGCTTCTCCATACATTAAAACTGGTAAAAAGTGAAATGTGTGGTGTGTATAGATTCAAAGTATCCATACACAAACATATGTGAAAAAGTGACTTCCTCCACTCAGCCTTCAATGCACCAACACATTCTAACACATGGTAAAGTGTTTATTCTGTTCTTGTCACAAATTCCAATTCCTAATGGATTTACATAAGTTTGAACAAAGTTACAACGTTTACTCATGTGCTTACCTTCTCTGAACGTCGATACAATCATGTTGTAGGAAATGGAAAGTGGTGCCCACAAATATGGCCACTGTGACTGCAACAATTGCCTTTCAAAACAATACAGGGGAAAAAGAAAAACATTTCCATTAGGAGTAGAAATTATTTTACACATTGTCCATTATTTTAAGATATATGGTTTCCTAATCAGATCTCTCCAGTGAGATAAACATTATATTTTGGCCAGAATCCCTGGAAGAATATAAACCACCATGTCAATAGACTGCTTGGATGTTAAAATGAAATTTAGGGTCTCTGCAATCTGAGGCTCTAATAGGACAGAGCCTGGAAAGCTCAGACTTCTCCCAGTGCTCCTCTAGGAAGGGTCAGTGAAGGGCTCAGGTCAGGTACTGAAACATGGGTGACACAGGGGGGAAGAGAATGTAGGCACCTGGGAGGTTAGGGGACACACCGAACTGTTCACCTAAACTGAGATCTCAACTCTGGTGCCAGAGAGCATGGGCAGCTTTCTACTTCACGTGGTTCAAAAGTAGATGCACAGGCTCCCTCAGAGCTGTTCCATGGCCGTTTCCTCCCCTCACAATTTCAAATACATATCAACTCTCCTTCCCCTCTCCAGTCATCTCCACCCCTTCTCTACTTAAACTTTCTCCAAGTCCATTCTCCCATATGACACATTACAATTTCATCTATTTATCCTGTTACCACCCATCTACCCACAGGAAATGTTGCATCAGGAAAAAAACCCTTTTTCTCCTTTACTCAGCCCTGGACTTGAACTTGTAGGATGCACAGGTGAATTAAAGTAGACCGATGTGAGGAACTCCCAGGTGTGCTGAATTATCGTTTGCACTCTCTGAATTAAATTTTTTACTGGGATTAGGTATTATAGTTCCTCTAAATAAAATCTATCACTAAAAACATTTTTCTGAAAGTAAAAAGTAAAGTGGGTTCTACTTGCTTTATTGAACATTTTATATGCCAAGTAGAGAGGAGATGACAAGCACATGGAAGGGAATAGAAGCTGAGTGTGACTCTGAAGTAGACTCATAGTCAAATTGCTCCCACTGGAGTTTTCCACAATACAATTAAAATAATTCATATGATTACCTGAATTCCAGTGACCCATGAAAAACCCTGGAAGTTTTTGAATGAACGACAGATAATCCACCAGAGCTGATGCCAGAAAGGGGTGACACATGTAATCTCCTCCAAGGCTGAGCTCCTCCCTGCCTTCTGTTCCTCCAAGAGTGGATCCAGTTCAGTTCTCATTTCTTTGTATAAGGAGGACTGGGTATACATATTGGCTAATTTTTCTGTGACTTGGTGCTGTCTCTCAGAATGTTCTTTATGATTGTTGTCTTTAGGATAAAAATGGATAAAGACAAGAAACAGATAATATTTTAACTTATTTTTTTCTAAGACACTTTTCATGAATAACACAAATTATATATCAGTTTTTCTCTGAGACAGTCTCATGTACTCTAGACTGGCCTCAAAGTTGCTATGAAGCCAAGGGTGACCTTAAACTTCTTCAGGTCCTCCTGTTTCTGACTCAAGTGCTACGATTACAGGCATGCACCTTCACACCCAGTGATGTGGTGCTAGGAAGCAGCCTCAAGGCTTTGTGTGTATTAAGCAAGCGTCCACCAGCCGAGATACATCTTTAGGCCCCTGCATTTTGAGCATAATAAAATTACTCCTGTGTAATTCCTTTACAGATTAGAAAAGTGTCCTAACTGTCCTGACTACTGTCATTATCCCATGGACACAGAGAAATGAATGGCCTTTTCCCATCCCTGATTCTTAATAAAGTCTTCCTTCCCTGATGGTTCTACACTTCTTAACATAAATGTCTGGTTCCTGCTTTCTGCTTCAAGTGAATGTATATGCAAATGTATATGAAAATGTATAAGCAATGGTATAAACCTCCAAGTATCTTGTTTTTAAGATGTTATAAACAAAGCCAGGTATGGTGACATAGGCCTGTAATACCTACACCTAAGAGGTGAGGTAGAAAGAGAACACATTCTAGGCCAGTCTGGCTACATGAGAAAACCCCATCTAAAACAATAGCAAGAATACCATGACAAAAAATAGGTACATTTACTTTTTCACAGAAATTTACATTGTGACAATATCATATAAATGTTCTTTTGTAAACTAATTAAAAAACACCTAGCACTGATTACAATGGCTACTAGCTAATTTAGGACAGGTAGTTAACATAAAAAGCTCTATTGTAATTAACCACACTGTTGTGTTTTAATGAAATTCATTAGGCATAAAATCTGTGACTCAGAAGACTCATATACCTTTGTGGCCATCTTCCTCTGTGTCTAATTTAGCAGAGGAACCTCCATTAATGATGTCCAGGAAGAAGTCTGCAGGCTTATTGTGGGAGTCATAGTTGTAACCTACAAAGAAGGTTGGTCATGAAGACAAAACTTAGGACTCTCTTTCAGAGACTGGGAAAAGGGAGGGGAGACAGAATCTAAAAACTTTTTCCTCTTCTTTTCCCTCTCTCCACTAATTTATCCTTCCTGTTGTATATACACTCACACTATTTCAGTACTCTCTGTTTTCCAGCCTATTATATACATGTATGTGTTTATGTAAGATATATAATACATAGATATAAGACAATGTAGACGTAGACTAGACACAGACATGTATTAGACTAGACATAGAAATAGGCTAGATATAGATATAGTCATTGACATATACTACACATGGACCTAGACTAGACTAGACATAGACTAGAATAGACCTAGACCAGACATTGGCATAACCTAGTCATGGACATAGACATAACCTACACATAGACATAGATATAGACTAGACATAGACATAGAAATATACATAGATTTAAATATAATCATAGACATAGAACACACACAGGTATGGATCTTCTGGTGAAACCATCATTTGAATCCAGACTAAATATTTATTGGACTCCATAGACTCACAATGCTCACATATTTTTAAATGACAAATAGTAATCAAAACAGAGTGATGGGCAGCAGATATTTAGCCCTATATTGAGAGTCAAGAGAATCATCCATAACTATATCCATATTTTACTAAGATAAAACTGATGGCATGAACTATTAAAAATATTTCATCATCCAACCATATGGGGGATGGGATGGGGGATTGGTGGAGGCATGGGAGGATGGGAGGGAGAGGGAACTGGGATTAACATGCAACATAAGGTTGTTTCTAATTTAAATAAAATTTATATAAAAATAAGCTTTCAGGTACTGGATAACCCTGACTCATGAAATCTACTTCCAGCAGTGAGTAAATCCAGGCTTTCTGGTGGAACTGTCTGACAGGAGCAAAAAACAACTCTTTACACTTAAAATTGCTGCCTTGTTCTTTTCCTATAAAAAAAGTCATCATCTAATCTGACTCTGAACAAACCGGGCAGACTAACAACATGAATCACAAAAGCCAGACTCGAGCCTCTATAACCTCCAACATTGCCTAAACCTGAAATGCAAAATTACTACTAAATAAAGTAAGGTCTGCACAGCTCCTCAGTCAGATCAATCTAAGGGAAAACTGAAAACCACCATCTGCTACGTGAGCAAGAACATGAGGACACTGGGCCTTTCCAAATCTGTTCCATGAGGGATAACTGCACCTGGTGCCGGCATGTTAATCAAGAGGGTCACCTGACCGGGCAGCAGAACAAGTGACTCAGTAAAATACTGTGACACAGGTGATACAGGACAGGAGAAAGAAGAGAGATCTGATCAACAAGCCCGTGCCTCACAGCTAACAGAATTCTGTCACAACATTAACCAAAGGTCTTTAAAATGGAGAAACCCCACACACAGCATGTCTGCACCAACTTCAAGCCGCATTCCTGAGAAGCCCTGTACTCCTTCCAGATCCTGTGAATGAAGGAGGTCTCACAGTGAAAGGCAGCCGTACCTGCGGATGTGAAGTACTCCAAAGCCTCCTGTGCAGGGCCGTGAAACATGACTTTTCCTGAAGCCACTAAGGTGAGGCTATCAAAACATCTGAAGATGGAGTCCGAGGGCTGATTAATGGAGAAGATGATTGTCCGTCCCCTCATAGACATCCTATGTTTAAAGAGGGAAAAACTGTAAGTCACTGCACAGAGGAACCTTGAAACTCTCAACAAAATGTTTTATTCCTGAAGTGGTTACACTTTTTAGTTCCCATTTCAGTTTGAATTTTCCTTAAGAATACCTCATTTCACTTGTAGTATGCACCTGATAAGAAACCAAGCTAAAACTTTTTTTTTAAAGTACCAGGACTTCTAACATGTGGGACATCAGTAGTCCACGGTCCACTCAAGTGTTACTGCATAGATCCCTGGAAACTTTCCAGACACTAAGTGGGAATATCTAGGAGTCAGTTCAAGGAGTCCATAACATGAACAGGCAGCCCAGGTGATGTACAGCTTCACTCAAGCTTGAGAACCAATGACAGAGCAAATATAACAACTATGATTGTTTGCAAAATTTCCTCTAATCATTTACTTTCTGCCTCATCAGGAAGTGGTTTTCACTGTTCTGACAATGTGATTCACATTCCTAACATTGCTCTCCCTGCTAAACACTTCAGTGATAACCTCATTTCAATCTTCACAATATCGGCATGAGACAATTGTAATATTATTTCCCCTTTCTATTTATAAGGCTTAAAATGTCAAGCAAAAGACCAAGGGGTCACAGTTAGTGAGGGGCAAGCCTGGGATTTGATCACTGGTTAATTCCATGATATGAAAAAATAAGCTGAGCTACCATTTCAGGATGTCATATCTTCTTTTAGGAGAATCAATAACCAAAAACTGTTTAAAACTACTGTGAAAATACTTTCATCAAAGATGTGTATAGTGATATATCTGTAATATCCCTGCACTTGGGATATCAGGAGTTCAAGGCACCTAGGTTACATGAGACCATGTTTCAAAAAGACAAAAGGAAGTATGAATGAAAGAGAGGTGGGAGGGAGGGCAAGAAGAATGGAGGAAGGAAGGAAGGACAGAAGGAAGGAAGGAAGAAATAAGAGAAGGAAGGAAGGGGGAGAAGAAGGGAAAGGAGAACATAGAGGGAGAAAGCTGGGCATGATAGTGCACATCCTGAATTCCACCAGGACAACTAGTTGTTACAAGGGCAGAGTAATGGCATAATAGTTGATTTTTCCCTGCCAGACTATTAATAAATCACCAAAATTGTTATTTCATATCATGTAACCTAGAAACCACATCTTAATTAGCTCTTCAAGATTCAAGCCAGAGAAACAAATGGCTCAGTGGGTAAAGGAACTTGCTGTCAAGTCTAAAGACCTGAGCTCAGTCCCCAGAACCAACTTGGCAGAAGGAGAAACTCAACTCTTGACATGTTCTCTGACCTCTACATGCATGCTACACACACACACACACACACATACACACACACACACACACACACAAATTACATGTTTAAAAAGTATTCCATCACTAGGATGCACTTCCAGGAGTGCTGGTGACCAAGGAGGGCACAGCATATCAGGGCCTGAGTCTGCTCCCAGAACACTGGGAGAAACCTCACTTAGCATGACTCCATGTAATGTCATTAAGACAGTGAGAAGCATTCCATCTGGAAAATGAACAAGAACTTGTTCAAGAACAAGGGGACAGATAGGGAAAGTGGTGACACCCGAGGAGTCTACAGACTAGAAGGTGGTAAGTCCCCCATTGTTGACTTCCTTACTGGAAATGTGTAATGAAGGAGTGATCTTGAGTTTTGGGGAGTGTTTAGGGTGATGGACCATGATTTTTGAACAAAACAAAGAACAGCGGGAAGGAAGGAAAGACAGAGAGCACAGTAAGTTTGACCACCAGGAGCATAGGTCATGGGAATGGGTTAGCCCTTATATGGTTCTTGGGGTTCTTCACTCATTTCTAAAACATGCAAAACCTAACCCTTACACTTCAGCCACATACTTCTTTCTTTCTTTTTCTTTTTTCTTTCTTTTTTTTTTTTTTTTTGGTTTTTACGAGACAGGGTTTCTCTGTATTGTTTTGGAGGCTGTCGGTCCAGCCCAGCCTCGAACTCACAGAGATCTGCCTGCCTCTGCCTCCGGAGTGTTGGGATTAAAGGCGTGGGCCACCACCGCCCAGCCAACACATACTTCTTTCTTTAAAAAAGGAAATGACATTTCTTTTACTCATTCCTATGTAGGTTCAGATCCCAGACCTTAGGAATCATTCCTCACCCATCACACCCAGGGCTAATCCAAGAGGATCCTATATATTCAAAACTACCCAGAACCCACCTTTTCCTAGCATAGGAACCCCCACACCTCAGGCTCCTGCTGACATCTTCATGTTCCACAGTACAACTAGACAACCTTCTCCGTGAGGCACTGATCTGATCTAAACTCAGAAGCTTTCCCACATCCCCACCATGGAAAACCTTAGTCCTTACAGTGATCCAGGTGGTCTAGGCAATCTACACCCAACCCACCCAACCCTGCTCTCTCCAGTTGTGAATGTGGAGGGCTGAATTGTGTCCTTCCAAAGATTCATTTGTAAAAGACCTCACAACTAAGAACTCAGAATGTGGCTGTAATGGAGACAATCCTTAAAAAGGTAATCAAGTTTAAATGAGATTGCTAGTGTGTCCTAATTGGTGTCCATTTGAAGATCAGGACATAGACTCGTAAGGAGGGAGGAGACACCATCCACAATCAGTGTCCCAGGCTGCAGCAGACACAGTCTGGGAATATCTTAATGTCTGGCTTCCTGATGCAGAACTGTACGAAATTTAACTTCTATCAAGTCACCCAGTCTGTTCTCGCCCTGCTAGTCAGTTAGTAGAGCATGAGACTCTTAATCTCAGAGTTGTGAATTCATGCCCCATATTTGGCAACACATGTAACCAGATTGGGAGCTTTTCTTTCCAAACCACCAATCCCAAATAGACACACAGAAGCTTATATTAACTAGCTCTTACACTTAAATTAACCCAAATTCTTATCTATGTTTAGCCATGTGGTTGGTGGCATGTTACCTTATTTTTTACATGTCTTGCTTCTTTGGTGGTTGAATGGTTTCTCCTGAATCTGCCCTTCCTCTTCCCAGAATTCTCCTAGTCTGACTCTCATGTTCAATCTCTTCCTGCCCAGCTATCAGCCAATCAGATTTTTATTATCAAACTAGATGAATACTTATTTGTAGTGTACAAAAAGATTGTTACAGAGCAGCAGTATATTTAGCAGTTTACTAGTAATCTTCCTTCCCCTCAGTCCACCCTGTCTCTCTAATTTTCCAGACACATCAAATATGCTTATCCTGAGAACAAATGAGTTTTCCCAATATCCAGCACTCCGTTCACCTCTCGCCCACTCACCCCCAGCTCACTTGTCACGTGCTTGAGTATCATGGGGACATGCTATCTAAAATGATTCTCCACCTTCACCAAAGCCATCTTTCCCTATGCTTTTTCTCCTTGTTCTTGATGTGTATTCCTTGTTAATGGAAGTTTCCCTCTAATAAATGGGGAAGAAATTCTGTTCCTTACTTCTGAATCTCCTGTACCAAAATGCACACAAGTGCCCAGGTATTAAGTGAATAAAGCTAATATTCCTTTGGCACTTACCTTTTCAGGACCCAGAAGAGATCAGTAGTAGTGCTGAAGTCCAAGTCAGTGGTGGGGTCATCCAGGAACAAAATGGGATGCTCGGTGACCAGCTCCATTGCTATACTGGTCCTCTTCATGAGCTCCTTAGATCTAGGCTAAAGCACCAACAACCATCATTATCAACAAGGACAACCATGGTCAATGTCATTTGGTGAACTAGGTGCTTCCAGCAATAAAAAGTTTTGTTATATTAATATCCTGAGGAGCAGAGTGTGGGGACCTGGGAGAAGGAGGAGGACGTTCCTCTTTTCCAAGAGAATAGAAAGAGGCTCAGGTCAGAGTTGACATGAAGCCCATGCTAATGACAGTTGAAGTTTGTTCTTTATCAAGTCACATATTCGAGGGCAATGAGTTATCAAAGTTCCAGACTGACACAGTAGAATCTCTGTCTAAGGAATGAGGAAGATGGGACAGGAGAAGAGGAAGCATCTCTAGTAATTTGGTATTCATTTTACACTCTACACACACACACACACACACACACACACACACTCCCTCCTTCCCTCCTTCCCCCCCCCTCTTTCTGTCTCAGATATACACACAGATATACACACACACACATATATGCACACACTACTTTTTATAAAAAATTTCACATTGTCTTATGTAGGAGGAAAGCAGCCAGTCTACCTTGCCCATGGCCACTGGGGCCCCCATGCACATGTGCAATAATAACTTCCCCTTGGTGCCAACCTGATATCTGCCTCTGTGCTGAGAGATTTCTGATGTAGAGGCACACATCTGGTGGAGCCACTGGGGGAAGGATAACTCATCTCTAAAGGCCTATAAGGGCCAATGGGACACCAGGAGTGGGAGATATAGTCAGACCCAATTTTTTTTCAATAAACGAGTCTGCTTTTGTCACTCCCCTGACTCCCAGAGTCTGTGTTATTGATTCTGTATATTCTTGCTCCCTTCCCATAAGGTGTGTTCTTACAGGGCCACCAGCAATGCTGCAACAGCCTTATTAGGAATTTTAAAACTTCAACATTGTAATTTGATATTATTTACACTGTATAGCATCACAGAATTCATGACTCATCCTTGTAGGCAAATCCAAAGCTGGTATAGTCTACAGGTTCACACAGTCTTTGTAGCAGTCAATATCATTGTTTAAGGTGAGAGGGAATAGCAAGGTTTAGGGGACACAGAACAGTGAACAATTCTCTCCAAACATGATAAGCAAACAATGATCAAGCCCTAATGATAGCACACAACAAAGGATGTTTGGGGAATGTGTATGAGTGTGGTCAGGACAAGGCAGAAGACATAAAGGAATCATTAATTTTGCTAATTAAGAATGAGGTTTGTAGATAAGCAGATGTCCTTAATGTTTTAATGGCTGAAAAGCAATTAAGTCTCAGTAGTAAGACACTACTTAATGTTCTTTTAAAATGCTGAAGTGAGAAACAACTTTTGTGAGTTGCCATTGTGAACACTCAGAAGCCCAGGAAGCTGTTATTAGCAAGTGTATATTGTGCTGGTAACATAATGGCCAAACTTTTACAGTAACCACATATTCCCTATACATTTCTTAAATGAAAATCTCATGAAAGGCTGAAGAGAAGTTTTAGCAGTGAAAAGCACTTCCCACACAAGCCTGAAGCCTGAGTTCAATCCCTGGAACTCGCAGGTAACAGTTATATGAAGTGATAGGAATGGGTAATTCTATCAAGATGCCATTACCGTGAGATGGGAGGTGAATCAGGAGCACCAGGCAGAACAAGAAGGCCCTACCTTAAAAACAGGTTGGGAGGAGTGGATGAACCCTTAAAAGTCCATCAGTGTGCTACGGCATTTAACCTGAACTGGCCGTCTCTTATAATCAGATTGGTGACTACTCCTTGGAATAGGAGAACCTTCATTCAGCAATTGATGGAAATAGATACAGAGATCCACAGCCAAGCACTGGGCCAAACCTGGGGAGTCCTCTCCTATTAAGAAAGGGAGGAAGGATTATATGAGCCACAGGGATCAGGGTCATCATGAGGCAACTGGTCTGCTCATGGAAGCTCACAGATTATGGACCAATGGCTAGGAAGCTTGCATGGGATCAGCCAAGGTCCTCTGCATATGTGTGATGGTTGTGTGACTTGGTTGACTTGGTCTACTTGTGGGAATTCTGACAGTAGGAAGTGAGCCTGCTCCTAATGCTTTGGCTGACTTTTGGGAACCTGTTCCTAACGCTAGGTTGCCTTGCCCAGCCTTAATACAAGAGGAACTTAGTCCTACCTCAACTTGATATGTCATCCTTTGTTAACACCCATGGGATGTTTGCCCTTTTTGGAACAGAGGAAGGGGGGAGGGGATAATGGGAGGATGGGAGACAGGAAGCTATGATTGGGATGTAAAATAAATGAAAAAATTTAATTGCTAAAAATTATATTAAAATTCTTGCAATCTATTACATTTCCTGACATTTAAGAAGCTAATAAATATCTTCATATGTTGTCCCTAAAACAAACAAACAAACAAACAAAAAAACAAGTAAGCAACTTAGGGCAATGACTAATTGTTAAAAACGTAGAAAAGAAAGTATATTTTTTGTAGATATAAAACCACATAAATAAACAGAACCAAAGCACACAAAATTCCTTCACTCATGAAAAAAGAGAGTGTGGTAAATTTCAGTTTTGTATTATTCTTACCAACAAGACAAACATCTCATAAACAACTGTGTAGAATTATTGTGGGCGTCAAGAGCCAGTACCTTTCTATTCCCCACTGTCTCTAAGGTGCAGCCAGCACAGCAGTTACTCTATAAGAATCCTAGTCTGGGGAGAGCATTTTTATCTGTACCCCTACTTGTCTGCTCAGCAGACTTCTATATATAATCTTCTCAATGGGTTGGTGTCATGTGATAGGCAGGATGGTTCAGAGGACACAAGAAGAGGGAAGCAATCTTGATAGTATAATCTCTAAGCATATAACAATACAGTATCTATAAGGTTCTATAAACAGTGCAATATTAAAAACATTTGGAGAATGTGAATGGTTATAGCCCTGGCAGGGCTAGTTTTCTGGCCAGTTGCTAAGAAAAGTCTCTGAGACTTTCAGGATTTTTTCTTCACATTACCTTGACATTTGACTCCTCATTCAGATGCAGAAGTTCAAGGACCTCATTAGTTCGTTTCGTTTTTTCATCTCTTGTTACAGACATTGGAAGTCGAAGAGCTGCTGAGAACTCTACATTCTCTCTCACAGTCACCGTGCACATCACTGTGTCATTCTTAAAGTTAAGTGGAATTTTAATTGCAAACAGTTATCAGTAACACCATCACTCTAATATGTGTAACCTAGTCACATATAAAGTATGCCCAATACTTAAATATAGTCTTTCAGGGTTACTAATTCCAACTACAGATCCCGATGCAATCATTTTTCACCCCTCTCCCGTTTGCCTTCCAGTAGAGCTCAGGGATTTTGGTGACTGATACCTGCAATTATTTTTAGAAGACATCTAAGCCATGGAGAAGGATGGAGGATGGGAAGGTTGGGCAACAGTAGTCGTTTATATAATTAAATCACAGCTGCAATTACTAATACTGTACCACAGATATCACACTCCAACTCCTCCCCATCTTCCTATTTAATAATGCCAGCCTCAGGCTAATGAGTCATTGGGAAAAGCTGGTGTAGGGAAAGTTGAGTCTATAAATGTGTCATATAATGAACTGGAAACACAAATCTATAAACTGAGCATCTAACCATATAGAGGCAGAGGAAATCTAAAATTACAAACCCACCAACACTTACTTGTGGGACATAACCAGAAGTACATTTGAAATTAGCAGGTCGAGGTTTTCCATTTACCAAAATATCTCCCGATAATCCACATGGATCTTTCCTTGCAGCTAAGACATCTAGTAACCTACAGAGGGTTATATATGTTGTGTAATTTACTTTCTCCCTTCAGTAATAGCTATAAATCAGCCACTCAGAATAAAAATTTTTCATGTCAAAAGATTAACTGAAAACACACACTCATGCACACACATAACACACACACACACATACACACCTTTATGTTCACTGTGTGCTCTCACACAGCCCAGATATTTGAATGCAAGACATGATCCACATGACTGCCCCTCCCCTCCTTGCGGTCTGACCTTGGGGACCAAAACAGGTAATGTCCTTTTGTATTTTGATAGTTGGGGCTGGTGATGCTTTCTTGTCCCCAGAGACTTCTCCTTCATCTTTCTAATTTTAATACTATCTTCCCACATTAAATAATAATATGACCACACAGCAAATGCCAATCGCTTTGTTATTTCCCATCAGGAAAGTGACCTAGTAAGACTTTCTGTTCATGGTAGAAAATGAGAATACACCCTCCTGCACATTATCCACAGCACACGGCACAGACTCACACATATACACTCACACAGTACTTAGACAACTCCTATAGAGCTGGTTTTACAGCACAGAAACTGAACACAAAGTGCTTAAACATGCTTCCCGTTATACTCACAAAGATCTGCTCCCGTCCTGAGGCCCCATGATGGCATTGAGGCCAGGCTTCATGATCCCACTGCAGACACAAAATCAAACTTGGTGATTTTCATGTTTAAAAGAAGTTATGTCCAGTTAGTCTCTATAATGAACATTCTATTGAAATTGGATGAAACTGTACATAGAAAATAAGTACAAACTCATAAAATTAAAATATCGATAGAGATCTATTATTTTTAAAAAGATGTCAGTTGCTACTGGGGACTAATCAGAAAATGTCTGTGATATCACAAAATCACTTGATTATTATTTAATCCATTTAAATATGGTGCATCTAAATTCAGTGTTCCTTGAAACAAGTTGCAGTTGGTTATGAAGTCTCCATTACTCATACATTCAGCCTGTATGTGTGAAGTATGTAATAGCTTCTTGTTAATGTTTGATTATCTGTATCTTCATATAGCCCTGCTTGCTACTTAGTAAACCTCATCACATGAAATGAATGAATCATGGAATATCTGTGGCAGAGTCATTACTGTTAAGACAGAATCTCAAAGGCCAGTTCATGCACTAGGGATAAATACTGGATTTTAGATTGGTAAAAAAAAAAGATTGTTTTCAAAATAAAATTTAAAAAAGTAGAATCAAACCAAAATCAAGGCATCTAAAGTAGAAATCCAAAGATTAGAAAGATGCACCCCAGAGACAGGAGATCATTGCCAAGTTTAACACTAAAAAAAAAACAAATGAAAACAAAACAAAAAGAAAACAATCTAAAAAAAAGAAAAAAAACCCACAAACAAAAAACAAATGGCATGCAATTGAAATAGAAAATCTATATAAACAAGTATAAAATTACAATTTCCCTCCCCGATACAGAGACTAGAATATACTTAGAGTTGAGAAATATCCCTCAGAGAGAGGTCATTCTTCATTGATGAATAGGTACTGCACAAATACAAGTTATGTCAGAAAAATGATTGATTGATTCAGAGTAGTGAAATATCCAGATCAAAAGAGATATATTATTATATACTTATAGAACACTTAGCTATATTCCCATTTGTTATTTCATATCCTGACAATGGGTCAATCCTTTGACTCGCCCATTCTGCTCTTGGTAAGACAATGATGGAGGTTATAGGTGGAGGAGCAGAAACGACCAGTGCCCAAGAACAGAAGCCATGGTTAAGGTCTGGAGTAAGAGTCTATGCTGACAGTGATAGACAAATTATTGGTGCTCTGTCCATAGATTTGGTTGGAAGCATGGCTTCTCTATGTCATGGGACTATGTCTGGAATGTTGGTTTTAGCTTTGTGGCTTTTAATGAATCTTAAACAAATATATGAGGACCCAGACTTTCTGCTTTTGGACTTCCTCATTGCTTCCATCTCATCACTTGTAACTGCCCCAGTCAGCCTAATATAAACTCTCAGGTCAGTTTTGGGCATGCATATGTGTATAGACCCGTACACAATTCTTTTACCCTTTGGTTTTAACAGGGGTCTTTGATATTATGTTTCATTCCTAATTTTATTTAATTAAAATTATTTATCAGGTTTTTAAAAAATATGTCTAAGGGATTGTCAAGCTTGTTTGTGTTTTCAAAGAACCAAGTTTTTGTGTCATTAATCTAGTATATTTTTCTTTTAATCTTCATCTCATAATTTCACTGTGTTCATGACTCTATCTGTATGTATGAGAAGATGAGGCTGGGGGAATGTTCAATGAGTAAAGCACTTGCTGTGCAAGGATAAAGATCTAAGTTAAACATCCAGAATTCACATAAAGTTGGGTGTAGTTGTGGGCACCTGTAACATGCTCTAGGGAGAGATGGGAGACAGACACAGGACAATCCCAGAACTCTTGCAGGCTGCTAGCCTGGAATACACATCAGTGAACAATGAGACACTCTATCTGCAACAGGGTAGAAGTTGAAGACTGATTCTCAAGGTTGTCCTGTAATAGCCTCGTGCCAAACATGCACACATATACAATTATATACATACATACACACAGTAACACATACATGCACACACAGCTTTTCTATAATACAATCTGTGTTTGTTGAAACTTTTGTTCAATACAGTATTCTCTTTAGTTAATGTATGTACCTGATATTTGATAGTCTTTCGATCACACATGTTCTTTTACGAAGTGGAAAACCACTCTGCACTGTTTCTTGATAGCTGATGTTATGAAAACTTAACACAGCCTCTCCAGTCAATGTGTTCAAGTCACTGGTGTCAATTCCAGGAAGGTCACTGGGCTTTCTTTCCATCATTGGGATTGCAACAGGGTCATCATTGGAAGACATCTTGAGAGATTCTTCCTTCCTGTAGAAGGAACAGCAATAGTAAGATGATGGTGAACACAATCAACACTATGACCCAGCACAGCACACTTATAGATTGTGTTAAACTGTGCAGTCACATGGAGATTTCTTCCTGATGAATACTACTTCCAGATAAAGTAGACATAACTGAGTACATAGATTCACCTTACTTATCAAATTCCTAAGAAACAAAGGAGCTGTAATGAGTAGAGTATAAATGTCATTATTCATAATTCATAAAGAAAGGAGGGAACAGATGAGAGGGCAATTTGTCTTACTTCAAAAGCATATTATGATATTATATAAGTTCAGCGGCAGAATACATGACCACAATTACCACATGTTCTATGTGTGCTTGTGTTTCTCTGTGTGTGTGTGTGTGTGTGTGTGTTTAGTATGCACGTGTGTCTGATTATGGGCTATAACACACTAATAAGTGGGACTTGCACAGTCATCAGGAGAAATTTCTGACTATTTCCAGCTTCAGACTGCTTCTCTGGTCGTTAGGCATCTGCAGACAGACAAGAGGATGCACTGCTGGCAATGACGTCATCAGTGCTGTAATGGGCAAGGTGAAATTTAGGAAGACTTAGATTTTAAAATGACACTGATAAGAGGAAAGACATCAGCCCTTCCAAGACCCCAACCCCAGCGAGTCCAGCTTCAGGTGAGATTGGGTCTCCCGCGCGGACCACCCGCCCAACACCCATCCCCTTGATCTTCCTGGCCGCACCTGGCATCCAGAAGACCCGCCCACACAGGAAAGACATCAGCCCTTCCAAGACCCCAACCCCAGCGAGTCCAGCTTCAGAAGACCCGCCCACACAGGAAAGACATCAGCCCTTCCAAGACCCCAACCCCAGCGAGTCCAGCTTCAGGTGAGATTGGGTCTCAGGCAGGACCCTCTGCCCAACACCCATCCCCTTGATCTTCCGGGCTGCTCCTGGCATCCAGAAGACCCGCCCACACAGGAAAGACATCAGCCATTTCAAGCCCCAAACCCCAGCGAGTCCAGCTTCAGCATCCCCAGCTTCAGCTGCAGGAAGGAAGGAGACCAGTGGAGATGGAAAGACCAGCACCCACTGGAAGAAGAGATGGGAAGAAGACAGAATAAGAGCTCATTCAGCAATAGAAACACCAACATGACCCCACCAGAATCTAGGGATCCAACACCAGCAAGACCCGAAAAGCACTACATAGATGAAGAAGAGGAGGCAGACCTTAAAACTTATTTCATGAAGATTATGGAAACCCTCAAAGAAGAAACGAGGAAATCCCTTAAAGAAATAGAAGAAAAAACAAACAAAAAAATCCATGAAATGGGGGAAAAATTCAAGAAATAAACAAATCTCTCAAAATCTAAAGAGCACCAAGAAAAAACAACCAAAAAAATTAAGGAAACAACTCAAACAGTTGAAGGATTGAAAGCTGAAATAGAAACGATAAAGAAAACACAGAATGAAGGGATGCTGGAAATAGAAAATCTGTGTAAATGATCAGGAACTACAGATGCAAGTATCACCAATAGAATACAAGAGATAGAAGAGAGAATCTCAGGTGTTGAAGACTCATTAGAGGTTATAGAGTCGTCAACCAAAGAAAATCTCAAAACAAACAAATCCTTAACACAAAATATCCAGGAAATAAGGGACACCATGAAGAAGGCAAACCTGAGAATAATAGGTATAGAAGAAGGCGAAGAAATACAACTCAAAGGTACAGAAAGCATATTCAACAAAATCATAGAAGAAAACTTCCCTAACCTAAAGAAAGATATGCCTATGAAAATACAAGAATCTTACAGAACACCAAATAGGCTCGACCAGAAAAAGAAGTCACCTCTCCATATAATAATCAAAACATCAAATCTACAGAGTAAAGAGAAAATATTAAGAGCAGCTAAAGAAAAAGGCCAAGTAACATACAGAGGCAGACCTATCCGAATTACACCTGACTTCTCAATGGAAACGAAGAAAGCCAGAAGATCCTGGACAGATGTCCTACAAACTCTAAGGGAACAAGGATGCCAGCCCAGACTACTATATCCAGCAAAGCTCTCAATTACCATAGATGGAGAAAACAAAATATTCCATGACAAAGCCAGATTTAAACAATACGTATCCATGAGTCCAGCTCTACAGAAAATGCTAGAAGGAAAACCTAGATCCAAGGAAGATAACTACATTCACAAAGACACAGGCAATATATAATCCCATTTTACAAAACACCAAAAGAAAAAGGGAGGAGAAACTACACAAAATAACTTCACTAACAAAAAATCAAGCACAAACAAGGATCATCAACCAATGGTCATTAATATCCCTCAATGTCAACGGCCTCAACTTGCCTATAAAAAGACACAGACTAGCAGAATGGATATGAAGACAGAACCCTTCCTTCTGCTGCATACAAGAAACACATCTCAACATCAAAGACAGACATTATCTCAGAGTAAAGGGTTGGGAAAAGATCTTCCAATCAAACGGTCCCAAGAAACAAGCGGGTGTAGCAAACCTAATATCTAACAAATTAGACTTCAAATTAAAATCAATCAAAAGAGATGAAGAAGGACACTTCATATTCATCAAAGGAAAAATACATCAAGACGAAGTCTCAATTTTAAACATCTACGCCCCAAATACAAAGGCAACTACATTCGTGAAAGAAACATTACTAAAGCTCAAAATGCACATAAAATCTCACACACTAATAGTAGGAGACTTCAACACTCCACTCTCACCGCTAGGACCTCCTGACAGAAACTTAACAAAGAAACAAAAGAACTAATAGAAGTTATGACCCAACTGGGTTTAACAGACATCTATAGAACATTCCACCCAAATACAAAGGGATATACCTTCTTCTCGGCACCACATGGAACCTTCTCTAAAATTGACCACATAATAGGAAACAGAGCAAATCTCCACAGATACAAAAAAAATTGGAATAACCCCCCTGCATCTTATCAGACCACCATGCATTAACATTAGAATTCAACAATCACACAAATCGCAGAAACCCTACAAACTCATGGAGATTGAACAATGCACAATTGCACCATCCCTGGGTAAAGGAACAAACAAAAAAAGAAATTAAAGACTTCCTCGATTTCAATGAGAATGAAGACACAACATACACAAACTTATGGGACGCTTTGAAAGCAGTGCTGAGAGGAAAGTTTATAGCACTAAGTGCCCACATGAAAAAACTGGAGAACAGTCATACTAGAGAATTAATAGCACAGCTGAATGTTCTAGAACAAAAAGAAGCAAACTCCTCCAGGAGGAGCAGACACCAGGAAATAATCAAATTGAGGGCTGAAATCAATCAAGTAGAAACCAGGAAAACACTGAGAAGAATCAATGAAACAAAGAGTTGGTTCTTTGAGAAAATCAACAAAATAGACAAACCTCTGTCCAAACTAACCAAAAGACAGAGAGAGAGCATGCTAATTAACAAAATCAGGGATGAAAAAGGGGACATAACAACAGACTCTGAGGAAATCAAGAGAATCATCAGGGCATGCTTTGAAAATCTGTACTCCACAAAATTTGAAAATTTAAAGGAAATGGACAATTTCCTGGATAGATATCAATTGCCAAAACTAAATCAAGAACAGATAAACAATCTAAACAGACCTATAACCCCTAATGAAATAGAAGCAGTCATCAAAAGTCTTCCAAACAAAAAAAGCCCAGGCCCAGATGGCTTCAGTGCAGAATTCTACCAGAAATTCAAAGAAGAGCTAATTCCAATACTCCTCAAAGTATTCCACACAATAGAAGCAGGAGGCTCACTGCCAAACTCTTTCTACGAGGCTACAATTACCTTGATACCCAAGACACACAAAGACACAACTAAGAAAGAGAACTATAGACCAATTTCCCTCATGAACATCGATGCAAAAATACTCAATAAAATACTCGTAAACCGGATTCAAGAACACATCAGAAAAATCATCCACCATGATCAAGTAGGCTTCATCCCAGGAATGCAGGGATGGTTCAACATTAGAAAATCTATCAATGTAATCCACTATATTAACAAACTGCGAAAGAAAAACCACATGGTCATCTCACTAGATGCTGAAAAAGCCTTTGACAAAATCCAGCACCCCTTCATGATAAAGGTCCTAGAGAGATCAGGGATAACAGGAACGTACCTGAATATAATAAAAGCAATTTACAGTAAACCAACAGCTAACATCAAACTAAATGGAGAGAAACTCAAAGCAATTCCTCTAAAATCAGGAACAAGACAAGGCTGTCCACTCTCTCCATATCTCTGCAATATTGTACTTGAAGTTCTAGCTACAGCAATAAGACAACAAAAGGAGATAAAGGGGATACAAATAGGAAAAGAAGAAGTCAAACTTTCACTATTTGCAGATGATATGATAGTTTACATAAATGACCCAAAAAAACTCCGCAAGGTTACTCTTAGAGCTAAAAAACACCTTCAGCAATGTGGCAGGATACAAGGTAAACTCAAAAAATCAGTGGCCCTATTATATACAGATGATGAAGTGACTGAGAAATCAGAGAACCATCACCCTTTACGATAGCCATAAACAGCATCAAATATCTGGGGATAATATTAACCAAGGAAGTGAAAGACCTGTATATCAAGAACTTTGTGTCTTTAAAGAAAGAAATCAAAGAAGATACCAGAAAATGGAAAGATCTCCCATGCTCTTGGATTGGTAGGATTAACATAATAAAAATGGCAATCTTGCCAAAAGCAATCTACAGATTCAATGCAATCCCTATCAAAATTCCATCACAATTCTTCAAGGACCTGGAAAGAACATTAATCAACTTTATATGGAAAAACAAAAGGCCCAGGATCGCCAAAACAACCCTATACAATAAAGGAACTTCAGGAGGCATCACCATACCTGACTTCAAGCTCTATTATAGAGCTATAGTCCTGAAAACAGCTTGGTATTGGCACAAAAATAGGCAGGTAGACCAATGGAACCGAATCAAAAGCCCTAATTTT